TATTTAATGATGAATGGTGAACTATTCCACCAGAAAACTCTTGAATGTTAAATTAAAATCTCTTGAATATTAATATTTAAAATTCTACCAATATAATAGTTTGTTGCACAGCTAAACAAGTGTTTTGCCAATTTTATCCACTATTCTGGCAAAACACAGTAGTTGTAGGTAAACATGTCTTTATTTATTTATTTAAAAAACTATGAAAGAAACATATGTAATAAAAACTTTTCTTTATCATCTTGCGAGCACAAGACTGTGCGGAGAAACAAATTGAGCGCGGTACTACCAGGGACATGGATGTTTTTAAATAAAAAATCATTTTTAGTTGCAAAGCCGCTATTAGAAATTTAAGAAATAATCATTTTAAAAGATCTAAAATTACAAATGTCAAAAAAAAAAGAAATTTGTTTATATCAAACATTTTTAAAAATATAATATTAAATTTAATTATTTAATATAAATAAAAAATTGAAAGAAATCAAACATCCCCTAATAGAAATATTAAAAAATAAGTTAAATAATGTTTTTAACATATTTTGCAGTAATTTAAAAAATTAAACAATAAAATAAAGAGAATTACGTGATGTCAAATTCATATTAGGCAAATGTATTAAGCATTTTTTATTTAAAATAAGGTGTGATATATATATATATATATATATATATATATATATATATTTATATAGCAGCCGTGGCACAGTGGTAGCGCACTTGCCTCAGAAACAAACCCCACCTCTAGGCAAGTTTTACAACATCAGTTAGGAAGGAGGCATGAACTTTCAATTAAATGCTCATACGCAATGCTCTGTGATAAGACTGTAAGGACTTCTTTGGGCACCTAAATAAGGTTTAAATATATATATATTTATATATGTATATATATGTGTATATATATATATATATATATATATATTATCTTATATTATATATATATATAAATATATATATATATATATATATATATATATATATATATATATATATATATATATATATATCATCTTTTATCATATACATATGCGTATATTTAAATGTAAAAATGTAAGAATCATTTTATATAATATAACTAATGTATATATTAAGAGTGCTTGATAGTCACACTAGAGCTGTTTATATATAAATAAATGTTATTATTACCCGCAGTACCAGGAATTAGCATGCAGATAATATAGGTTTGCAACTCTTTTTTATGTGTTTCCTTAATCATCAGACAAGTAGCATGAAAATTAATTTTGCTACTAATTTTGTTTAGAAAATTATGGTTTTTATTTAGCTTTTAAACGGAAAAAAATTAGTCAGTAGGTGCAAGTTATTTATTAGTAATTAGTTTATAAAGCTGATAAATAAAAGTTTATAATTTAGCTTATTTAATTTTAATTAGACTGATAAAATAATAATTGGTGTTTACATATTTAAAATTTAAAATGAGGTCAAATAATTTATGTTGAATGCATAATTTATAAATAATTTTAGATTTTCAAGAAAAAATAAAAAAATATATAAAAAAATTAAAAAAAAAGTAAAAAAGCTATTAGTAAATATTAATAGCTTATTAGGTTTGTAGCTAGCTATGTAATTTTTTAGTTAATATTTTTAGTAAATATTTCATGATGGCAATTTGATATAAATTCAGGTTGTTTATTAAGTAATTCATCAGGTTTTGAATAAGAAACAATTGCAAGTTTTTCATTTAGGCAAAGGTGGCACTTTTTTGAAATGTTTGAATAAGGGGGAACAGATTTTAAAATAGGCCAGGCAAAAGTGGGGTTTCATTAAATTTGCTTTTTAAATCCCAAACATATCTAGATAGGGCCGTTACCTTTTGATATATTTTGCTCTTGAAGGATAAATTGTGGTTGTAATATCTTGTTTTCCATTCACCTTCTGTTAACCTGATATCAGCCTTTCACAGGAAGACATACGATCGCACGTCTTTATATGACCAGGCAAATTATATTTTGCTTTGGTGATTTGATGGCGGCTATTTCAAAAAACATTTTAAAAACGTGCTGAATTAAAAATATTCTGAATTATACCTTAAGTGAAGTAAATTATGTCAAAACTTTTAACAAATGTTTTTATATTGGCAAAATGCTTTTAAATAAAGTAACAATTTACTGATTTCTTTTTAACTTTTTACTTTTCTTTTTAACAATTTTTCTTTTTTTTTTAACAATTTTACTTTTCTTTTTAACAATTTACTGTAACAGCTGTATACATTTTTTTCATTTATAATATATAAAATCTTTAAGTGTGCATTTTTTTAAATAAATGTTATTAAAAAATAAAAAATTATTTTATTTTTATAAACGATGACATTATATGACAACGAAAGTCTCTTTAACAAGTTTTAATATAAGAATAATTAAAGTCAATAAATTTAAAAAGATAAACAAAATTTTGTTGAAAAAAAAAGAAAAACGTTTCACAAAGCCGTTACATTTAAATAAGTTTGTTTTATATTCTCAAAGCCTTTTTAATGAAGTAACAAAACATTTCTAATGAATTTTTATACTAAGTATTAATAAACTGTTGTTTTTTATTTATATAATTATATATTTTTTATGATAAATGTTTACCTTTTGAAACGTATTTAAAAAACAAAAAACAAAGTATAAATGTTAAAACAAAGAATGAAATGGTTTTTTAATTCATAAATTAAATAGACTAAGCATTTTAGTTTGATGAGTTTTGTTTTAGTTGGGTTATATATATATATATATATATATATATATATATATATATATATATATATATATATATATATATATATATATATATATATATATATATATATATATATATATATATATATATATATAAATATATGTATATATATATATATATATATATATATATATATATATATATATATATATATATATAAATATATGTATATATATATATATATGTATATATATATATATATAATATATAATATATATAATATATTATATATATATAATATATTATATATATATGTATATATATATAATATATTATATATATAATGTATTATATATATATATATATATATATATATATATATAATATATTATATATATATATATATATAATATATTATATATATATATATATAATATATTATATATATATATATAATATATTATATATATATATATATATATATATATATATATAATATATTATATATATATATATTAGGATGATGCAAAATACAGCTTTTTTAAAAATAGTCTCCTGCTCTTAACTAAATGTGTTCTATATAATACAAAAACACTAGGTTTAAAATTTTTTTGAGCAAAAAATATTTTTTTGTTCAAATATATATTTGACGGATCCCTAATATTTTGAAAAAAAATAGTGGACGGCTTTAACATCCCATCACACACTTAGTATGTTGTGGTTGTATATTACAATGTGTTACCATCTAACTTTAAAAAAATTAGTGCTCTAAAAGGTTACTAGCTAATATGGCTTATGTGTTGATGAATTTGCAACGGAAAAATCAAAGATGTCCAAAATGAGTGTCTTGTTTTCAAAAGAACACTGTGAATAAATAATTCTTAAGATGTCATAAAAATATACTTTTAATTAAATATATTATCAGGCTGTCAAGTTATCACTTTTTTTATTTTTTTCATATTTTGTAAGTTTTTGTCATTTTTTTTTTTTTTTTCATTTTTTCAATTAAAAAATTTTTTTTAAGTCTTTTGATTGAGTTGTGATATATTTTACTAAGTTTATTTTTTGTAATTTGAGTAATATCTCATATTATGATAATTCAAATAAGTTTTACAATAAATATTCTATTACAATCTTTTTTTTGTTACAGTTTTATTTAGATATTGCAATTATTTTAATTGTTAAATTGTTTTATTACTTTTATTGTTTGATAAACTGAGTTAAGAACTAAATTTTGAATTAAATTTTCAGTATTTTTATCTATTTTTACTTTGTAGTATAGTAATCAATAAGTAGGTCAAAGCCGTAATGGTTTAATGGAATGAGGTTCAATAGATAATCAATAGATAGGTCAAAGTAGTGATGGGATGAGGTTTGACTGAAATAGCTTGACAAAAATCAATTTAAACTATAGGCTGAGAAGAAAAAAAACATTAATCAAAGTAGTATTGTAAAAAAAAAGTTTCTGTGAACCTTTTTGTTTAATTATTTTGACCTTATTTGGTGTTGCAAGTTATTTGTTTTCTCTATTCTGTTAGTTTATTTTATATTATTTTTGAAATTTTTGATGACTTCTGATTTATTTTGTTTTAAAGAATATTTGTTGAACATTTTTTTTCATTTTTTCAATGAAGTTTGTCATTTTTTCATTTTTTGTTATCCCCCCCCCCCCCCCCCAAATACAGTCTTTTTTCATTTTTTTATAAAGTTGTTGCTTGACAGCCTGTATTATTAATGTATATATATATATATATATATATATATATATATATATATATATATATATATATATATATATATATATATATATATATATATATATATATATATATATATATATATATATATATGTCTTCAAACTTGGGGTCTGTTGTCGAAACCAAGGGCTTCGGGTCATATAAAATATAAGGGAGATTAGCGGGAGGAGGAATCTGTAAAAAGCGTGCAATAAAGTAATGGGATCTATTTTATTGTATATTTACTGAAAATTGATAGGACTTCGCATTCCTAGTGATGATGATATTAAGAGCTAACAAATAAAACTTAATGGCTCTGGCTAGTAACCCCTGTTAATTAGACTATTTGTCCAGGGTTGGGTTTGGAAAAAAAAAATCAAATTTAATCATGGCTAGTGCCCCCTCTGTTACTAAATGTTATGGTCAAACAGTGCGTACATGTGTTAAACAATGTTTGCTAACATGTGTCTATAAAATGTAGGAATGTATAGATATTTACTATAACATAAAAGTATATTGAAAATAAACACCTTTTATCTTAATTATATTTTTTTACCTTTCTTTTTATTTATTAGTTTTGTAAATTATTTTTAGGTTCCTTGTAAAGATTCGGAGAAAAAGAAACTAGTTCACAGTAAAAAGCCGCAAAAAATATGCTATGTGAGTTTGGTTTTGAAAGAAGTTTTATTAACTTTTTATACTCTTTTTATAAGCAATAAAATTTTTTTAAAGTTTCGATGATAAAAGTCTTGCTGCTAAGCTAAAGTTTATGGTTTTTTATGATTGAAAATTTTTTTATTGAACTTTGGAACAGCTTCATTCTATGAATTTTATCTCATCAAAGATTGGTTGTGTTAAACAAATTGAAGTACAACACTCTTGTGCAAAACTAAAATTTATAAGATTTCAAGGGTTGTATTTTCAGATTTGAATCGTGAAAATCTTAAGTATATTAGGCTTAAGTCCAATTTAACTGTGTGCTTATAAAAAAAATTAGTTTGTTATATAAGATAAGTGATGTAACATTGACACTAGGGATGGCAATCCCGGGATTCCGAAATCCCAAAATTTTGTACAAATTGTTCATCCCAAAATCCCGGGATCAGTCTCCGAAATTTCCCGGGATTTCGAGATCGTCAAAAAAAAATAATTAATATATATATATATATATATATATATATATATATATATATATATATATATATATATATATATATATATATATATATATATAGGGTCGTTTCCACACTTACCGTGAGTTTAACAAAAGTTATTATAATATGTTAGATTACTCAAAAAGTAGAAATTTATTAGAAATGAATTTTTGCAGCCATCAATGTAGTACTATAAGGGTTAGTTTAAAATTATTCTCACTCTGAAATTTAAATCAATAATGTACTTATTTTGATCAAACTTTTGAAGCGCAGTTTTCCATACTTATCGTAAGTGTTTCACACTTATCGTATATATTGTTGACACTTATCGTATATCTTAAAATCTGCTTTAGTGACTGGTTTGCGCTTGCGGTTTCAAATGAAAATTTAATGCATTAGTAACATTTTATTAAACGTTTTTAGGTATATAAATTTAAAAAAAAGACTATTAAATAAACACTTATTATATAGTAATAAAAATATTATTTTGAATTAAAACTAAAGATTTTTAAAGCATTTCCATTACTTTAGTACAAATCTTTTAAACTGGAAAGGATAGAATTTCATCATAATTATCTGAGACTTATATTATAATTATTATTAACAATGGAACTCGTTTTCTGACTCTTACTTTTTGACAAGGCTTACTTTTTCTTTTGCGACTTTCTTTTTCTTTTTCAAAATTTTCATGCTTTTTCTTTCTTTTTTAGTTTTTTCATTTAATAACTTTTTCTCCATAGCCATTTGTTTCTTTCTTAATCTTTCTTCCTCTTTTTTTGACTTTTTATCTGCAGATAATTGTCTCTTTTTTAATTTTTCATCATTTAATAGTGACTTTTCTTGCAATTTTGTCTTTTGAATTTGCTGCCATGTTTTAAATGTTACAACCGATGGTAAACGTTTTATTTTGCGCTTGGACGTTTGGACTGGTTGTTTTGGCCATATTAAAACACTTTTAATTGGATTTATGATTTCTGCTGCTATTTTTAAACTAGAACAAGCTGGTTTTGGTTCCTCTTACCGCTGCAATATTGCAATCAGGCATTTCCATACCGGTTTTAACTTGCACATTTTCTAAATTACAAGTTGTTGATAGATTTTCATTACCCTGTTGTATTTCATCAGGTAAAATTGTGGTCTAATATGTTTCAGATGAGGCTCTTTTCCAAAAAAAGATACATCTGAAGATATTCAAGGTCACCTTTCCAACCTAAATGTTTGTCAGCTATTTTAAACTGCTCTAAAATACTTGGATCAATGCAGTTTTCAATAAAGTTTATGGGAGAGGAAGCGGATAAAGTCACAGTTGATTGATTCTCTTCTAAATAAGGAGTTGGAGCCACAGTTGACTCAGATAATCTTTGAACAATTTTTGTGTAGTCCACACTATTAGCATCAAATGGAAATATTCCGGTATTTTTAAAAGCACTTTTAACATTATTTGCCTTAGAAGGATCGATTATAAATGAATTTAATTCTGGTACATTTTCATTGTTTATTTCTTGTCCTTAATGGTCAATGCGCCATTGTTGGCAAAAAGATTTCCACTTTGCTTTCATTGGCCCAAAAACTGCCACATCGAGCAGCTACAAAATATGTGTTGCATTTGGGAACAAAGCAATAAAAATTATTCCATATTTAGAGCAAAACTCACTAAGTTCGATAGAAAAATGTGACGCATAATATCAAAAAAAAAAAAAACTGGTAAAGGAATTTCTTCTTTTATCAAAATTGGATGAAAAATGTTTGTAATATACTCAAAAAAACATTCTGCGGTCATGCAACCATTTTCACTTTTTCCAATAACCCATCCTGATGGAGCAGTATTTATAATTCTATTTGGAAGACAAACATATATAAAAATTGTTAATGATGGAGCAAACGTTCCACTTTTTATTACTTCGAGCACTTTCTTCATATGTATTTTTTCCTCGTTCACCAATTAATAAGTTAGTTTTTGGTGACAACTGAAAACCACTCTCATCCATATTGAAAACGCACATCGAATCATTTAAAAATTGAGCGTTTTCTCCTAAAAGCTTTGGAATTTCAGTAAACCAACCTTTTATGGCTTTTTCAGTTACTCCTCCTCTAGCTCGGTTTAAGTATTTACCTCGTTTTTGAGATAGCTATTCCTGACGGCGAAGAAATGCATAAAACCAACCTTTTGCAGGAAGGTTGTTAGTAAATTATGTTTTTATATTGTTGGAATTCAAGTATTTTTGCACACTATCTAATAGCTGTACTACAGACATGGCAAATCCCATTCTGGTTAGTAACCACTCGTCTAATTTAGTTTCAATGTGTTCACCTAGTACTGATTCATAACCGCAGTGTTGTATCTTTAGAGAAGTTTTTCCAGATATTTTATCACAAAGCGTCTGATAAGGAATTCCAAATGTCTTGCTTGCTTTGTACACAACCATACCTTTTTTAACAGCATCAATAGCATCTCTTAATTGGCTATCTGTATATTGAGTCTTTGTTTTGAGCTATAAACTTTTGTCTTATATTGTTGCCTTGCCATTGTAAAAGAATCTAAGTCAAATAATTTTTTTTTATGTAAAAAAGAACCAAGTTGATTAATTATTGGACATACGATATGTATGGAATGACATTTTTTTAGTTCATACTTATCGTACGTTCAAAAATACTACATTGATACTATAATGATGAGTGATTTTAATAATATTAATAATGATCCATGTTTTATTCACCTTATTAAATCAATTTAGAAATAAAATTTTATCTTCTTAAATTATCTTGTTTTATTTAAAATGCTTCTAACAGCTGGTACTTAAAAAAAAGTATTTTCATAGGCTGACGTAATAAACCCACTGAGTTTATATAAGTAACTATGTATTGCGGTTTCTATGTATTGTAATAGAAGTGCATGACGATGTTGTTGATAAACAAAATATACATAAAATAAAAAAAATTACTACTTATTGCAAAATTTATGTTAGTATTTAAAACCTACGATAAGTGTCGACTCACGCTAGTTGTGGAAACGACCCTATATATAAAATTAAAATTAAAATATATAATAAAATAAAATTAATGTATAACTTTTATTAAAAACTCTTGCTCTTTCCACAAGCAAGCGCTTTTATTTTTATTTTTTTTTTTATAATATACTAGTTTTAATATTATACTATATATAATATATAGAATAATATTAAAACTAGTATATTATAAAAATAAATATAATTCAAGCGCTTGCTGGTAAAAAGAGCAAGAGTTTATAATAGAAGATATACATTAATTTAATTTTGAATTTTTATGCTTCCGAAATTATGCGCGATTTTATTTCCACTTTTATATACATTCATGTTAATTTTCAAATGTGTGATTTATGAAAGTTTTTTTTAACGCCATGCATCTTTATATTATTTTTTAATTTTTATATTTATTTATACTGTGTTACCATTTTAAGGTATTGTTTTATAATTTATAATACTTAGGTTTATTAATTTTAAAGTTATTAAAGTCTTAGATAAGTTTTAATACAAAATTAAGTTAAAACATGATTTAACTTAATTTTAGAGTTTCATTAATGTATTAAATATTTTAGTTATATTGTCATTAAGTTAATCATTTTTAAGTGTTTGATGAGTGCCTAAAAAGTATTCAATTGTGTTTGCATTTTTTCCTATTCAATCCTGAGATTTCTCGGGGACAAATTTCTCAATCCCGAAATCCCGGGATTGAAAATTCCGGGATTTTTGTTATCCCTAATTGACACATCTTTAGAAAATATATTTTTTCACTTGATGTGACAAAATTATTTTGATTTGAAATAATTCAACATGTTAACCAATCATAATGCTGTCATAAACTGATCAAAAATTTAATTAGATTATATGATAGATAAATGATTTTGTTGTTGGTGTGCAACAGTCAATATTACTCTTTATATGGGGTAACATTGACATTAGTATATTTTGTGCTGTAAATGTTAATTTAATTGTGAGAGGTGAATTTATCATTGTAGTTTTTCCAAACAAAACAAAAAAAATTTTACTATATTCTACAGTCCTACAGACCTACAGTCGTGTGGAGTAAAATAGTAGTGCGTATTTTATTTTTCTATCAACAAACTTTGAACATCAAAATATATTTTTCTATTGTGTGTTTTTTATTGTTATTGTTCATAAACTAAATGTTGTGATTATAATAGTATTAAAAAAATTTAAGAAAGATAATTGCAACACTGTATGGTTTTAAATTTCAATATTATTGATTGAAGGTCATTCGTATTTTTTTTTTTAGACTGTGCAATAAAATAGTAGTGATAATCATTTTTTATGAAAAGGTCAAAAAATAATTAAATTTTATTACAAAAAAATTTTTTTTTTTGAAGCTCTACATTAGTATTTTGTGGCATGATCTTTATTTGTAATAACTGCCAAGCATCTTCGTTGCATGGAATTAATAAGGTTCCGACATCTTTCGGCAGATTTATTTTGCCATGCTGACTGTACTACGTCCCGCAATTGACTACAACCTCTTGGATTATTTTCAGAAACTGATTGTTTAACATCGATTCACAAGTTTTTAATCGGATTGAAGTCGGGGTATTGTGCTGGCCACTCCATCACAATACCCCGATTTTATCGATTTTATCGTTATTGTTCATATACTAAATGTTGTGATTATAATAGTATAAAAAAAATTAAGAAAGATAATTGCAGCACTGTATGGTTTTAAATTTCAATATTATCGATTAAAGGACATTCGTATTTTTTTTTAAACTGTGCAATAAAATAGTAGTGAAGAATTAATTTTTGTGTAGTATTTGCTGTACTTATTAAATTCTAATTATTATTAGTTCTTAATAATAAGCAATAAGTAAGTAATTAATTTTGATATTGGATAAATTTATACACTTACTAAAATTTTGAAAATTTAGAGAGACATGGGGCGCTTTAAGCATTATACTGAAGAAGTTCGTAATTTAATTATAAATCTTAAAAATCATGGTTAATGTCAACAAACAAATATAAGAACTGGATGGATGTTTACCAACCTTGATTTGTAATGCTTTAAAATGGATACCCAAACCAGATCAACTACCGCTATAGAAGATCGTCAAATTGTATTGTTAGCAAAAAAGGAGGCATTTATTACTTCTAGAAAAATTAAAAAAAGGCTAGAATTAAATGTTAATGCCTCAACTATTCGAAAGCGATTAACACATGCCGATTTAAATGCAAGAACCTTTAGAAAAGTGCCGCCTTTGAGTAAAAGGCATATCAAAAATCATTTAAAATTTGCACGCATGCATGCTTCTTGGCCTAAAGAAAAAATGGCGAAATGTTTTGTGGACTGATGAAAGTAAAATTGAAATTTTTGTTTCCTATGTTCGTAAATAGTATGTTAGAAGACCAACGGGTGCAGCATATAAGCCACAATTTACATTAAAGACCGTCAAACATGGAGATTCAAAATAATGATATGGGGTTGTTTTTCTTACTATGGTCTTGGGCCGATACATCGCATAGAAGATATCATGGATCGGTTTGTATATGTAAAAATTCTTGAAGAGATCATGCTGCTTTATGCTGAAGAAAAAATACCGTTAAAATTTTTGTTCCAGAAGGATAATGATCCCAAACATACGAGCAAGTTAGCCAAATTGTGGTTTAATGAGAACAAAATCGATGTGATTTTTAAACAAACTATAGAAAAATATATTTTGATGTTCAAAGTTTGTTGATAGAAAAATAAAATGTGCACTACTATTTTACTGCACACGACTGTACATTTTTGATTTAAAAATTAGTATCATTTAAAAGTTTATAAATTGCAATAAAAATATTAGGAAATATTATTTAAAAGAATTAGCTTCAGTTTTGACAGTGTCTACTTAAAGATATTAAAAAGTTAATGATTAAAAACTTTTTTTCAAAGAACTGTCAAGCTACAATATAAGCTCCATAACACATTAATGACTCAATATCTGATTTCAACAAAATCTCACAGCAAAAAAGCAACATAAAAAGCTAAATTGCTTAGTATTTAGAAACAGCATTATAAAAACACATTTGAAATGATATCATAATATAGTTCTAATTATTTTTTGACTAAAGTTTTTTAAGCAACAAAAAAACTAGAAATTAGTTTAATTTATGCCCACCATATTGTGTTTTTATACTTATTATTATGCAGAAAAAATGGTTTTATTTGTTCATTAAACATCTGGCTACAACATCTGTTAAACTAATTTAAACAATAGTCATCGGGTGACAGGTAAAAACATTCAATCTAGCACATGTCTTTGTTAGCCACATGTTAAATTGTTACCCATGTGTCAAAGCATTAGCTTAATTCTTGATAGTTTTTTGTTTTTGTAAAATTGATTAGAGTTCTATTTAGGCTCCGGTGCAAGAAGTTTCTTATATTACAATGAATGAGCAACATGCTCAAGAATATATTCAGCAAAAGGAAATCATAAAAAATTGTGAAAATGTAAGTCATTTTTTGATATATTTTAATATATTTATCAAATGATCATTTTTAAAATAACCAAATGTTTAAATGAAAGTTTTTATTAAGTTAGAATGTTGCAGGCTTGATTATATACTGTATTATATTAATTTATAATAGTTTATCTGTTTATTTAAAGTTTATTGAAAAAAGAATGATTCTGCGCATGAAACTTCACACCATTAAAAGCAGCGCCATGCCATTATATTACCACCTCCTATTTTACAATTTTTAATGGTATCTAGGATTATTTTTCTGGTTTTTATAGCATCTAACCTTTTGCCATCAGATCCAAAAATATTATATTTTGATTCAATGTTCCACAAAATGTTTTGACATTTTTTAAAAGGTTAGTGACAATGATCTCTACAGAAGTTTAATCAAGATAATAAAGGCTTCTTTAAAATGTAACCCTTTTAACCATGTTTAAGCAAAGATTAATATTTCTTTGACTTACTCAAAGATCATGACTTTTTTCTACTTCATTTTTAATTCTATAATTCATCATATAATTTAACTTCTATACTTTAATTTCTACTTTATTCTTTGACAAAGATTAATAGTTCTTTGACTTACTTTAAGATCATGACTTTCTTCTACTTCATTTTTAATTTTTTTGGTGGTTTAAAATTAATTTTTTATAGAAATATTTGTGATGACTCAATTTTCGTGTGTTGTTTTTCTTGCACATGCTTTTGGTTTAATGCTACGCAATGAAATGTTTGATGCAATCTCTCTACAAGGTTTCTGTTTTTTTTTTTTTTTTTTTAAAGTTAAAAATGATCCTATATCATCAATATTTGGTGTAATGCGTGGCTCCTCCCAATTTTCTGGTGGTAATTAATGAGATTTATGCTTAAATTACTGAAAAATGTTATTTTTTAAAATGAAAATACTATTCTTTTATATTTTGAAAACATATCTGAAATGATAATCCACTAAAATAATTGAAAATCATTATTCAAATTAAAAAAAATTATTAAACCATGCTATCCTTGTTGTTTTGTCCACTAAAATAAACAAACTGTGGAACAATAAATTTTTTATTGAAAAAATATTTTAAATATAGATGCGAAGTCCTATTGATTTTTAGGGACTCCATGACTCCAGACTCCACAGTCAAAATATAAGGACTTCTTGGCCTCCAGACTTCAAGTTCTTTTTTTTTTAAGTAGCTTTACTGAGTCAGTTATCTGGAGTTTTTAGGGATGAAATAATCCCTAAAATACTAGAGTAGGCTAAAATTTCAATTGTGCTGTAGAAAGTTATAATTCATTGCTTCATTTCTTTCAAAATTTCAAAAAAAAAAAAAATTTCTTTTAGTTGAAGGACTAATCAGATTTAGATAACGGATTTGTCAACCTCAAGTTTACATGTGCAAGTGGTGTAGCAATAGAGCATTATTGTAATAACTTATAAATTATTGTAATAACTTATTATAATGTTAAAATTAAAATTATTATAATAACTTGTTAATTAAACCTGTTGTTAAACCAAAATGTTGTAATGCGTTTTTATATAATAAATAAATTATAACAACTCAAAAAATGTTTAACATTTTATTTTAACATGCTTAGACACATTTGATAGATGTGAATACACTTGTAAATGATAATTCGTAACTGTGTTTAAAAAGACTAAAAGCTAAGAAAATGATATTTACACAGCAGTTCATCAATTAAGACTCATCTGAAATTTTCTGACAAGTCTTTAATGATGAAACACAGTTTAAAATAAAAAATTTGGTATATATGTATATAAATATACCAAATATATATATGTATATGTGTATATATATGTATATGTGTATATATATATATATATATATATATATATATATATATATATATATATATATATATATATATAAAGTGAAAGAGACAGATGCAAACTCATGTGCATATACATTTATACATATAGATATTCTTTTGAAAACATCTTTAATTATAGGAAAGAAGACTTGAAGAAAAAAAGCTTAAAAAAAGACTTAAACGAGATGAAAGACTGAAGCAAAAACAAAAAGAATTAAAGAAAGAAAAAGTTTGTAAATAAAATTTTTTAGTAAACAAAATTTTGAAGATGTTTATTTTTTTAGATTTTATTGTCTTCAAATTACTTTGATTAGGAACAAGAGGACAAAGATAAAGGAAAGCGTGATCAGAAAGAAAATCTCAATAAGCAAAGAAAGTCAAAGTCTAATTTAGATACTGTTAGTTTTTTTTTTATAAACTGTTTAATAAACCACATTATTTTATACAGATAACAGTAATTCAAAACATTTTTTTGATATAGTATTAGCATGGGTTGGCAACAATATTGATTATTTTGATACAGTATTAACATGGATTGGGTACAGTATTTTTAACTTAATACTGGGTTTTGTAATAGATAAAAATAATTACAATCGTCTGTTTCTTTAGAAAAACAGATCTCATAAACTGATTTTTTATCAAAACAGATCAAATACTTTTTTTTTGTGCTTACTCATGTTAATACTGCTGATTGGTAGTGCACAAGTATTTAATACATGTTTGTTAATAAAATGCTTTCAAAAACATTAAAAACATCTACCTTTAAAAATATTAATTATTGCTGTTGATAAAACTATAGTTTTTGATGACGTCATGTCTAGTCATAGCGTTAACTGATCTTATATTGGGGCAGGCGGAGCTTTTTAGTATTAGTAAAGGAAACTTACTCAAAGGAAGAAAAAATATGATATAAAACCCCCAACTTAGTTGTTGGTATGACTTGGAGTAGCTTGTAAAGATTAGATGGTAATCCTCATAGTTTGTATAACAATAGGAATGTTCAGTTCAGATATGTAAAACAGGCTAATGCATGGAAAGGTATCCATTTGTAAAAAAATTGCTTCAATTTGTGTCATATTTAAATTGAAAGTTGGTGTTAATAAAAAATGGTTTGTTAATAAACGTTAAAGTTTTTATTAAAATGTCTATTTTACTAAGCAGCTCTAATATTACTGTACTTTCTTTTAAAAAGTTCTACAAGGCTAATGCCAACTTAATAATATTTTTATATATTAGCTAAGCACTTTTTGTTTTAAAAAATGTGTTGCCATAATTATTTTGAAATAAATTTATTAACAATAATTATCAATTTACGGTTACTTGCCAAAGTCTGAGTACTATGCTTGATGTTGCACATTTTTTTTGAAAAAACTTTCATCATTTCTATATACATCTTGTCCCATATTGTCTTTTTTGAAATTATAATACTTGCATACTGATACATCTGGATGATTTGTATAAACTGATACTTACATTAATAATACATTAGAATACATTAAGATTTTGTTTTTATGTCATCATTACACACTCTTTCTATATTTTATTTTCCTTCCTACCTTTTTCTCTCCCGCTAATTCTTTCAAGTTTTCTTCTATTAGCACTCTAATCAATCTGTAATTTATAAAAGTAGAGTAAAAATACATTTTGTAAGCATTTTGCTTACAAAATGTATTTTTTGATGTTTCAGCTTCAATTGATTAAAGATTAATAGAAAAAGTGTTGAGGTTTTTAATCTTTTGTAATTTCAATTTAAAAATTTAAGAAATTTGCACTACAAACTTTTTTTTTTAAATCTTTGATTAAAGTTCTATGGATTATTTTTTAAATTATGTTTGTACTAGCTTTTTAATTTTTTAGTTTTGCAGTTGGTCAAAAAGTAATTTTAAATCAAAACATGTTCAGCAACCAGTTCTTAGCAATTACAGTATGTGCAACAGAATTCCCAGGTTTGAAAGATGTTTTTCTGCAAATACTGCAGTTTTTGCTTCTGACAAATTTAATTTGTCGTCAGGATCTTTTGACAACTCATTGCAATCTGATAACAGCAGGTTGCTATCTTGTTCTAGTTCAAGTGACTCCTCCATATTACCACATAAAACAATAAGTGGTTTACCGCGTACTTGTTCAAAACCTGCATGGAATGTATCAAATAATGGAAAAAGCAGTGCTTCAACTATATTTCCACCAACTTTAACACATAACTCTTCTTCACCTGTATCTTTACGGTCTCGTTTTAATGATAAGGATGTAGATTCTGTTACCTTAGGAGAATCTCCAATAAAGTCTCTTGGTTTTAGTACTTCTTTTTTCTGCACAGAACCTGATATAAGCTCTGAGATACCTAAAAATAAAGAAGTATCATTTTCAGATCAGTATTCTTTATTTGGATCACAACCATTTGGAAGTTCGTTGATAAAATAGTTTATTTAATTGAATGTAAATGCAGATTTTATTTTTTTGTGTAATAAATATTAAACAGTTCTTTATATTTCTCTTGAAATAAATGTCATTTAAAAAAACTTGTCTTTTTGATTATTTTTAGTTATCATTATTATTATTATTATTTATTATTATTATTTTTTTTTTATTTAAAAAAACTTTTAATAGTTTAAGAAAGTAATATTTAAGTATTCTTAGTATTAATTTAAGTTATGAATTTATTTTCTGAACCAATATTTTTTGTTTTTTACTTTTAACTAATGTCTTGTTGTAATTGATAAAGTCCTTTAGCAGTTATAAAATAAAATTATTTTTACAAAAATTTACAAACAAACTAAAGGGCATCAATATGTGATACAAATATGCAACGGCAAAATAAAGGTATGCAATGCTTTTATTTTATTTTTGTGTTTATTTAACCAGTGTTTTTACTAAGGGTTGAATAATATGCTTTCTTTAACAAAAATAATTTTTCATTGAAACTTCTGTTTATTTTAACAAAAAGTAAAGAGTTCTGATTGTTAGAACCCCTTGTAGTACCATCCTCAACTTGTTTCTCTAGGTAACAACCTTGTTTGTGAAAGTTAGTGTTTTAGAGTTTTATGTTTGAGTGAAGGTTGTAATAATAATTTAAATCAAAAATAATTGCCTCCTTAACTTTAGTGACCCCATTGGTATTGGGGAGGTGAATACAGGAAAAAATTTTAGATAAAATAAATTGTTTAAAATTTATTATAAATTTTGAAATCTATCGATGAATTTTGATTAAATTTTTTTTTTTTTTGCTTACAAAGTCACAAGTGATTAAACTTAAGTATTTATTATCTAAGTTTTTTTTTTTTTGGGCATCCATTATTATATTTCTAATCCCAAAAATTTCTAAAGGTTCTAAGATCTCTAGTGATCAAAGAGCATAATCTTGTACAGCACAAAAATACTGAGCATAATCCTGTAGAGTATTCCATTTAATTCTTGATAATTTTGAAACCATTTGTTCTGTTCATATAACACAAATACTATAGCTAAACATTCGTGGCTGCCTGACCTTTACAGCAGTTATAAGGTCTTCCAGCACCAAAATTTGTTGACTTGAAAGTTATAAGTTTTGTTTCTCAAAATTCCTAGTAGTTATTGGAAGCTCCAACAAGTCTTCATGATTTGAAATGTGAAATGGCCTATCAGGCCATTTCACATAATAGGTTTTCTAGGTAAACCACATCAGAAAGTACTAGTGGCTAGAACTAGACAATTTGCTAAAATTGTCTTTAAAACCTGCAGTCAGGGGTGTGGAGTCGTAAAAAAAAAAGTAACGACTCTGACTCTAGTTATTGAAATTTTTTGAGTACAACTATGACTCCAACTCTGACTCCTATTCCAACTCCAAAGCAAAATTTTTGAAAAATTCTTTGAATTTTTTAAAAAATATTGCGCGATAAGTTGAATTTTTTTTTTGACAAGTTTATGAAACATTCTTTGAGGATTAGTATGAACATAAGGTTAATTGAATGTTTTGTACATGCACGTGCAATACCAAGAAATTTTACTATTGGAGTCGGAGTTTTGTTTGGTTTAGCCACTCCGCTAAAATTGTTGTAACTCCGACTCCACAGCCCTGCCTGTAGCACTAAAAACTGAGAACTGCTTTCACCTAACACCCCAATCATGGCAAAAACTTACTGCGCTTGAATTGACAAGTTTTGAGTAGAATTTGAAAAAAAAACTTATGAGACTTGTCAAAGTTTACTTACTTCACAACAATGCACACCATCACATTGGAAAAACAGTTTGGAGAAATTCATAGAAACTTGTTTGAGAAATATTGCCTAATACTAATATTCTTTAATAAATAGATATATGCTTTTTTGGTGTAGAGTAAATCATAGTGAAATATCTTTCTAGGTTAGGATCATACTTATAGTTAACAAAAATTTTTTTTGAAGGTTTTTTATGCTCCAGAGAAGCATCGTCTTGTTGGGTTTTTTATTTAGCAAAATAGTTTGTTTAAAGCTGTGTTCTAAGGGATTTGTCCAAAGTGTTGTTTAGAGGGATTTTTCAGTGTGTCAGTTAAAAATAATAAAACAAATAATTCATTTTTTTGAAATACAATAGCATAGAATTTTGATTTCAAATGTAATTGTTTACAAATAATATATACTGTTAAAAATGATATTAATCAAATAATTTTAAATAATTTAAAATTAGTTGATTAATATATGATTAAATTGACTCAAATTTTAACCTGGTGGTCAAATATCAGAGCAGCAGTCAGTCAAAACTTGTATAATAGAATATATATATATATATATATATATATATATATATATATATATATATATATATATATATATATATATATATATATATATATATATATATATATATATTGTTATTATAATAGACCAGTTTAAAAAATATATTTTAGTAGTTAAGTGGCTATATGTTAAATTGTTGTTAATTGATGAAAAAAATTTCTTAAATTTCAAAGCATTTTTCCAATATTTAGTAACAGCTCAATTAACTTTACTTTTCTACAGGGTCCTAATATTTTAAAAAAAAGTTCTTTAAATGTAGGAAAACTTAGTACTCAAAAGAAGCGAAATAATATATAAATTAAAACCCAAGGTGACTTTAAAAACTTTTTTTTTTTTAAATTATTAGAGGCCAAATAAAAAATAAAGTTAATTTAGTTGTCCCTAAAACACATTATTTGAGCTTGCAATTTTAAACTAATTTTATTGACCATAAACCATATCAAGTCAAGTTTTGCCTAACTTAATTTGACACTACTTTGATTCAGTGTTTGACAAATCAACCATGGAGAAGTAAACAATATGTGATTTTTTTGGTCTGCATAATCGACCAAATGTGTCCACAATTGAAAGAATTGTTTTCAAATTTCAGAAGACCAGGTCTGTAGGAAATGTGAAAACACTTGTTCATGCTCCACCAGTTTGTTCTACAGAAAACATAGATCTTGCTTGCAGTAGTGTGGCAGAAAAGACATTAATCTCAACTTGTCATTCCAGACAATTGAACATCTCATGAACATCACTGTTGCGAATTTTGAAGAAAGATTTGTATTTACAAACTTACAAGTTTGACTCAATACCTGAAGCCTACTAACTACTGATCAGCCTACTGATTTTAAGAGTCATTATTATGCTGAATGGTTATTTGAACAGAAGTGAATGGTGACATTACAAATAAAATCATCTGCTTTGGCAAGGCTCACTTTAATCTCAATGGATTCGTTAATGACCAGAATTTAGCATCTGGGCAAATGAGAATCCATGAGTGATTGTTGAAAAGCCAATGCATTCACAAAAAGTGATCAGTATCATCCTGCCATACTTTTTCAAAAATGAGATCAGCCAGGCAGTTACTACGAGCAGTGTTTGCTATTGCGAGATAATAATGGACTTCTTTAGGCCACTAATTTTGGATATGGATCTGGATGGTATGTGCTTCCAACAGGATGGTGCCATTTGCCACACATCCAACGACACAAGAAATTCAATCACTGTGTTATCTTACGTTGTGATGATATTAATTGCTGCCATGATCATGTGATTCGACACCATTGGACTTCCTTCTTTAGCGATATTTAAAAAAATTGTACATATCAATAAGCCAAGAACAATTCAAGAGCTAAAGGATAATTTGGCACATTAATCACTTTCAATTATGTCTCTGAATCATTGAAAATATGGGCTGTCAGATAGAGGTATGTCACCGTAGCCATGAGAGCATTCGGCTGATATTTTGTTTCACATAATTATCATAAATCTTTTTATCATAATAAAAAATATTAAAATAGTTCTCTGAAAACTTTTTATCTTATTTGCAAAAAACACTGTGGGTTCTAGTTAGACCACCCTTATATATATATTTTTGTGTATATCTATACATATATATATATATATATATATATATATATATATATATATATATATATATATATATATATATATATATATATATATATATATATATATATATATATATATATATATATATATATATATATATATATGTATATGTATATGTATATGTATATGTATATGTATATATGTATACATATATATATATATATATATATATATATATATATATATATATATATATATATATATATATATATATATATGTATATATATATGTATATGTATATGTATATATGTATACATATATATATATATATATATATATATATATATATATATATATATATATATATATATATATATATATATATATATGTATATATATATGTATGTGTATATATACACATATATACATATACATATGTATATATATATATATGTATATGTATATATGTATACATATATACAAATAGTATTGCGTACTAAGGTAAGCAATCTGACGTCATACTGAAATAGCCTGCTGCTGTGGGCTTCAGTACATACATCGACTGACAAATAGCCTGACTTGCAGTGGAGTGCTGCTACATTAACTGAGGGTTTGGGATAGGGAAGCAATCGTTTTATTCATCATTATTTGTTTTTTCTTCTTCTTTTTCGAAAAAAATGGTATAGTTTAAAGTAAGCAAAAAAAGTGAGCAAATGCTTATCAAAACACGCTTTAGTAAGTGTATATATATATATATATATATATATATATATATATATATAGTTTTTTTTTTTTTTTTCTTATTTAGTTTAAAAATATCCTAAAAAATGTTTTATTTAGATATGGCATTAAAGATTATTGGGTTTCAGGATCATGATGTTAAATCTAACAAAACTTATAAACATAAAATATTCAGTATCAAATTTTTTTTTTTTAATTTTAAACTCCCCAAGGCTTATAAGGTTACTATAGTTAAGGAGGATTTTTATTATTATTATTATTTTTTCCTTATTGATGTAATACTCCTCTCTTAACTTTATAACTCTCAAACTTAAAAGTTGGTGAACAAGACTACTGCACAGAGAAACAAGGTATGGTCCCAGATGACAGTGAATACTTTACTAACATATCAAGATACAAAATGTGCCAAGTAACAAGTTATTTGCTTCTATGCTTTTATGCTGTTATCTATATTGAATTATTGTCGTTGTAGATTCTTCTTTCAACCATCATGGACCACTTCAAAAAAATGCTCATTGTGCTGCTGAACAGAAGAGAAGAGATGCTATAAAGGTCAGGTAGAATTTAAATGTTTTATGTATCATTGAAAACTATCTACATATTCTGTTGCTGGTGGGTTTCATTAATGTTCCCCATTCTCCACTAGTTTCGTTATCGATGTTTCCCATTCTCCACTTTTATTTTATTTTTAAATTAACCATTATTACATCAATGTTAAGCAATACTTTTATGCATCTTAATTTAATAAATTTAAGGTATCTTGTTTAACAACTTTATCTATATTTATTACATAGTTTATATAATTATAAATACCAAGATAAATTAGATTTTTTCTAAATGGAAGAAAAACATATTTCTTTGTAGCTATCTTAATAGAGTTATAAATAATTCTCCAAAGTTTTTAAAATTTATAATTTTTAATTTTTATGCATTTACAAATGCAATAAATTTATATATTGTAAAGTTAATTGTGTTAACTTAACAATTTATTTGCACTTAGAATCTGAATTTTAACAGGAGTTATTAAAGGTGTCATACATAGCAATAACAACTTATCTTTTGTAAGCAAACAAGTAAAAACAAGTTCTTATATGTCTTTGTTTTCCCATTTACCTAGCTCTTGAAGAGCAGTTACTGCAAAGTTCAGTTTAGGTATTTTTCTTGAGTGTATTTGCATACCTCCAAGGATATCGTTACCCCTTTGTTTCAAAATATTAAATCTTGCATATAACTTTCTATCTGCTCTGCTGCCACTGCAGCAATTCAGTGCTGGCAGGGCAGGTGAAACCCTAAACCTTTAAAATAAATCTAGTTTCTGTTTATCTTTAATTAACTCATCATCTGATCATTTGATGCTCAATAAAGCAATAATATATATAATCACCTTTTTTTTTTTGACATAGTGTTTTTTCTTGACTCCTTATCTAAAAATCGTGTTATTATCAAAGAATAGATGCTTGATTTTTTTCTTTATAAGCCTTTCAACCAACAATTTAATTTCATTACTAGTTTTATAGTAAAGTAAACATTAATTGGATCATAGTTTTTGGTTAGAGGAGAGCTACGAGAAATATTTTCTTGATATTCTTTGTCCTATGCTGTATCATCTTTTTCTGAAAGCTAAATCCAAACATATCTAACTATTACTATTGTTATATATATATATATATATATATATATATATATATATATATATATATATATAAGTATCTGAGCACCATCTGAGCTCCATAGTCAGAATTTTTTTTTCTAAAAATACAGGTGCAATTTATGTGTTTTATTTTTAAAATTTTTTTAAAAGTTTTTATTCGATAAAATAGCGATTTCTCCCCAATAATAACTTGTTGTTGAAACTTAACATTTGCTTTATTCTGTTGAGCAAAAATAAGTGAAACTAGATTGTAAACAAGGTCTTTGTTAGAATATTTGTTTTGGTGTATATATTATTTTGTTTTTTCAATAAAGTTCCTTTTTGTATAACTTCTGTTTTTAGGCAGCTCACTAGGAATAAAATCCTTTCCAAATCTAACTCTGAAATTCTTGTGATTGATGAATGTCTTAGACATAATTTATGAATAATTCGGTTAAATAACAAGTAACAGGTTAAATAATAACAGACTATAATCTTCTAAAGATTTGTAACAATGGAGAGCTCAAAAATGAAGTCAAAATCTGTTTTAAAATTGATTCAGCATTGTGCTCTTTATAATAAGATAATTATGAGATAAGTTTAGTTAATTTTTTTTTATATGTGTGGTTAATGATACAGGATGGATTAGTGCAACTCGCAAAACTTGTTCAACAAAATCATTGTGAAGAGGATTTCAAAGCAAGCAAGGCCCAAATACTTCAAAAAGGTTGAACATATTGTATTTTTTTAAATGATAATCTTTCAAACTTAATAAGACATATATTTGCTAATGCATATCAAATATAAACTATGCAAATCAGTTTTTTTTTTATTTACACTTCAACATCTGTATACTTCTGTCATGCATAATACCTCAATATTTTAGTTTAACAGGACATTTAAAAAATGTTCTTATGTTTTATTCAGCGATCACATGCGTCAATGTTTTAGTGGAAGAACAAGGTCATCGAACTCGAGAAATTGAAGATTTAGAAAAACATCTTACAGTGCTCAAAATGATACAAGGGTAGTATTTTATTTCTTACTCAAATATCTAGAAATGATTAATTATTATTTTAATTTTTTAACAGTTGTTATTAAAAAACAACTCGTAATTTTTTTTTTTTTTTTATGTGGTTATTTTATAAATTGATCATTGTTATTTTAAAATCTGTTGGATCAAATTAGTGATCTCTTAAAATGATTTAAATTGTTAGTTATCTCTTATATATTGATTTAAATCTCCTCAAGATTTAATTTAAATCTTCTAACTGATTTAAATTAGTAGGTATCTCCTAATTTAAATGGTTTAAATAGGTGGCTATCTTTTATGATTGATTTAATGAGTATTTATGAATTACCATTGGTTTAAATTAGCTCTTATGATTAATGATTTATTTAAATTAATGCTTGTTTTCTAAAATTATTTAAATGGTTATCTTTAATTCTTTCTACAAAGTCACAATGTGCCATGTATTGTGTTGCTTTAATTTTTTATTAAAAGATATTTTCTAAAGATTTTGACTTAATTATTCATTTTTCTTGTTTTTTAAGAAAAGAGTGACCATTTTAAACACAAATTTTATAATTATGAAATAGTTTGTCTCTTAATAAAAAAATAGCTTTTGATGTTTCAAAATACATTGAAAAGGTTTTAGAGACTCAATCTTAATACTAAATTCTAAATTTATTCTAATTCTAAATTTTATTTTAGTAATAAATTAGTAAGTAAAATAGAGTACAAAGCTAAAAATTTATGCTTTTTTTATATTACAGAAATTGGTTTATAAGTGAATAACAAAATAAATTTTTACAATACTAATTTGAAGTTACTTATTTTTACTATAGAAGTTATGAAGACCTTGCAAAATCTGTTCATGTATGTTAGAAACTTTTAATATTTCTATTTCTATATATGTTTAAATATGTTTTATATTTTGGTACTTTAATCTTGTATTTAAATGATTATTTTATTTTAAAAATAAACATTAATAAAAAAAAAAACCCTTACCAAAAATCTAACGCATTTGTAAACTTCTGTTCAAACACTCACAAAGCAAAGCTTATTAAATTTTTATCTAAAATATGTCAGAATTCCCAGAGTTATATTTGTATTGGATTAAAAGTGTAAAAAATTTGTAGTTAAAAAAGTCCAACATTGAATATTCAAAATTTGCATTAGAAGCACAATGCCTATGTTAAACTTCTAATAGTTTCTTGTAAAGTATATTTGTGCATATATATAAAACATTGTTTTGTCGGCTAACAACTAATATTTATCTTTATACTAATACATCTGTATTAAAATATGATATCTTTTATGTTTAAAATTTATTCACTAGGTTTCTCATAAAAATGAAATCAATGATGAAATGAAGTTTGCAGTGGTAGGTCATCATTAATAAATATAAAATACTTCTGTTTCAAACATATTGTTATAAATGTTTAATATTTTTTTATTTATTTGTTGCAATTTATTGTTTTATATTATGGCCTTCATAAATATTCACTAATAGATATATTACACAATGTAACAAAAAAAAAAAATTTTCTGTTTATCAAAATTTTTTGATGTTTCTTAATTAATTTGAGTATGCTGAGTCTGAATATGACATTGGATTTTTTATTGCATCAATCGTTTGGTCGTAAAACCAAAAAATCAATTAAACATATAATTAATATAAATCGTTTTGCATTAGATTCTACTTTAGTCAATATAAAACATTTACTAATTCAAAAGTGTTATGTTATGTTACAAAACTTCATTTTACATCATGTTTCTTACATATATTACATAATGTTACATTATATTGTATTGTAACAGTCTCTCACAATCTCAAAAAACACTAAAAGTGAACAGTAGAACGAGGTTTTCTTTTATGAAGTTTCTCGTCATCGCGTATCAAACACCAGATGTAGTCACCCATCATAGCTGCATCCCATCTGCCCTGGTATCTTTTCTCCATTGCAAGAATATCCTGATGGAAACGTTCCTCGTGCTCTTCACTCACATCACCCAAATTTGGTCTGAAAAATTCCAAGTGTGAATGCAGGTAATGCAGCTTTATTGACATTCTGCATTTCATATCTGCGTACCGTACAATTAAGTTTTCCACTATCTCTTTGTAGTTATCACTCTTATTGTTGCCTAAAAAGCTATGAACAACATGTCTAAATGCAGTCCATGCTTCTTTTTCAACAGCAGACATTTTGTCCTCAAGCTCCTTACATGCCAACATAACTTTAATCTGTGGACCAACGAATATACCTGCTGAAATTTTTGCATCTGACACCTTTGGAAACATCTGCCGAATATGCTGGAATGCTGCACTATCTGGGTTTAATGCTTTGACAAATTGTTTGATAAGACCAAGTTTAATGTGAAGGGGTGGTAGTAAGATCTTTTCAACAGGTATCAGAGATTGATTAATAACATTGTGCGAACCAGGCTGTAAATGTTCTCTCACTGGCCACTCACGTCTTGTGAAGTGCTGGTTTGCAGCCCTGCTATCCCATAAACAAAGAAAACACGAGTACTTTGTGTATCCTCCTTGCAGACCGAGAAGAAATGCTAGCATCTTAAAGTCTCCACATACATCCCACTTGTAACTGTCGTAGTTGATTTTCTCAAGCAACAACTTCACGTTCTTATAGTCTTCCTTTAGATGAACGGAATGAGCTACTGGAATAGAAGGAAATCGGTCTCCGTTATGGAGCAAAACTGCCTTTAGACTTCTTGTTGAGCTGTCAATGAATAATCTCCACTCTTCAGGATTGTGAACAATGCCAATGTCATTGAAAAGACCACGAACGTCATGACAATAGCACAGTGATTCTGATACTACATAAAAGTATGCGAATGTTTCATGTCTTTTTCGGTATTTCGAGGTTCTGCAGCTTGGATCTAATAAATTCCATTCTTTCAAACGTGATGTCAGAAGTTCTGCATTTGATTTAGTGAGACCTAAATCTCGTACTAAGTCATCAAGTTCTTGTTGGTTAGGGAAATGAGGTGAATCATTTGGTTCCCTGAAATCACAGTCATCATTGAGTTCATCCGGTGAGTCTACTTCAGAATGATATGCAGCTGCTTCTTCGGATTGAGGTGGAGTAGGAACAGGCAATTCATCACTGTGTGGAACTGGTCCAATAGAAGATGGTATACTTGGATAAACTAGAGTCAGCCTATCTTTCGGTTTTTTATACTTTGAAATGTCAACAATGCAGAAAAAGCAGTCATCATGATGGTTCGTCGGTTCTCTCCATATTCTCGGAATCGCAAAGGGCATTGACTTTCGGATTCCACGCAGCCATCCTTCCAGAGTTGATCTGCAGCTACCACAACTGTAGTGTGGTGCCCACGATTTGTCCTGATCTCCCATAGCCATGCCAAAATAAGCATGATATGCAGTAAAGAATTTTGTACCACTGACAATCTTATGTTTAGCTTGTGTTGGACTAATATAGTAACCACAAACATAACAGAATGAGTCAGGACAAAGCTTGCAGGATCTACTAGACATATTCACTACTTCATGTAACAGTTGTAATTAGTTAAACTGAAAATAAACACACGAATATAGTTAAAATCAGCATATATATATAATGTTTTAATTGCATTACACATATACGAAAACTCTGAAATATACTTTATGCTTTTTCTCAGGAAATCTTGATGATAGAGAAAAACCAATGGTACCACTGAAATCAGCATACAAAAATTATGTAAGAAACATTAAAAAATTAACATAAACAAAAATGTTGTTACATGGTGTTAGTTTAAAATAATTGGTGAAAGTAGTAGTTTTATTTTAATTACTGTTTTATATTTTTTTTTACTGATTCTATATATAACAGAGAAATGTTAAAATTGACTAAAAGTTTTTTTATTTTTTGATGTTTTGAAAAATGTATGCATTTGGGAAGAAAAAAAGGGGAGTGATTTTGTAATAAGTAGTACATGCGCAGATGGAGGGGTGTAGTTTAAAGCATCGCAGTTCATACAAAAGAAAGGGGATCAAAAATTAGTAGTTTTACTGGGTACCTACTTTATTGATGCCCCCTAATTCAAATAGTAAACTATAAAAAAAACTGAACTTTTTTGATGGTATGGTATTGAATTGATGGTACTATTAACTGTTTGTTTTTTAAAGACTTATGAAGCTCAATCCAAGTATGGCAATAGTATTCCATACATGGATGAATTAGAGATTTGTTAAAGTAGAGAATAAATTGTAAAGGTAAATATTGTAAGATAGAATTGTAAAGGTAAAATGAAGAGTAAGAAAATACTAACTTGCAATAAGTTTATATATAGTTTTTACAAAAGGGTCCCTCAGTAACTTAGGAGTCAAAACTTATGGGTAGGTTTTGACTTGAGTAATTTTTTGAAACAATCTTGTAGCCTTTTTTTTTTTTTAAATTCTTATCTGAGCATTCTCAGCTGGTTTTTATTCTCCTCTATTTTACTCGCCTTCTTCCTTACTTCATAAATTAAGGACTGTTTTGTTGTTTTACTCAGGTAGTTCCATAGTCTTGATAACTTATACTCTGTGTCTTGCTGTCCTGATAACTTATGAATAGTCAAACTGAATAGTAAAACTCAGAACTATTTTGTAAGAGAACAATGTTAATCTCTTCACTTATGTCTACATATTTTTTAATGTTAGTTTTTAGATGACTGTAAGAATAATAGTAGACAACAAGAGGTCATTCCGTTCAGCTATTCTGCTATCTACAGCTATCTGATATCATGTTGATTTGAATTCTGATCAGTTTTATATCTATAAAATCTCAGTTGTTTTGTGTTCTTTTGCTAATTTCTATATATTTTCTACTTCAAGATCTGGGTACTAACGGCTGTCTTAGACTCTGTCCATAAATGGACTCTACAATCATGTAAACATTTTTCATAAAGTGGTCAAATCCATGAAACACTTTCATAAAAGTAATTTTACAGTCATATATTAGTTGTACATTAGATCCAGCTATTGAAGTTGTTATTTGCCCATGACACATTACAATCATTTGAATTTCTAGTTAAAGAACTATCTTCTTGAACTAAATCCAAAAAAAAACCTTTTCATCAATATCTCTATAACAAATCATTGTTTAACTGTAGATATATTCTCTCATTGTTCCTTAGGTGAATTACAATGATTACAGTAGACACTCCCAAGGCCCAGATATATATTTGATGCTAGTCTAGCCAAACTATTTGCAACAATATTCATATTTAAATATTGTTTGTTTAAGATAATATTAAAGCCTTTCATTTACATTATTATATCCGCATTGAAAAAATGTTAAGACTGCATAAAAAGTCAAGACTGCATCATTCTTATGATTCTTATCCAATTTGAATTATCAAAGGCCTCAAAAGATGACAAATCTACGTGTATTGATTTTTGTTCCCATATTCAGCTGTCACTTGTTGTTCTTCATTGACATTAGGGGTTATAAGGAGAACAATACATAGCAATTATATTATCTATTTGAAATTACTATTGTTAAGCTGATTGACATTTTATGTTCTCTCATGACATATTATGTTATGACATGACATCGTTTCCTCTCATGCTATCATAATCATTTAGAACACAAGAACTAAATCTGATAGTTCTGATGTGATATCGAGATATCAACAAAGCCTGGGGTGGTGTAATTTTAGTAAACTATGTAAAGGTAGACTCAGGAAAAGGAATCGTTTTTAGAGGATAGAAATTTTGAGTTGATGAACTTCTTTTTAGTTAGGCTCAATATTCACGTTGTTTGCATTTTCCTCTATTTGAATGTATTTAACAGTGAATCATAGCAGCTGTCACAGTTGATATTTGGGTAATTTTGATACCTAGATATATGGAAGACCAACCTCCCTCACATCGATGTTTTCGATTGTACCAAGTCATTTTACTAGAGTTGTTTTGTTTGATTTTTCGAGTTTTTGTCTAGTTTTCTTATTTTTAATTTTATTCAAGTTTTTTATCTTCTTTTGTGTATCATCTTCTGAAATCTAGTCACCATCTAGATTTAAATTATCGTCAACAAATGACAGCCAAATCTACATAGGAAAGGTTGACAAAAAATATTTTTAATATGAAGACCTATATTCTAGAAAGGCTGAAGATATGGTATATCTATATAAAAGTATTTTTTAGCTAAAAAGTTTTTAGTTTACGCTTGTTTTGAAGTATAAATGAAATATTATTCGTTATCCACATTTTTATAGCTTAATTGAGATCTTTTAATGTATATTAGAGATCAACTTAACTGCTGGTTTAAAAAGAAACCGAAAAAAAGGATATAAAACATGTAAATATTTAATTTATTAAAACGTCTATCATGAACAAAAGTCATTAAATTTAACACAAGAATAATATGAAACGTTTTTTTTCCCTAGAGTATTTCCGGGGTGTTAAAAAAAATCTTCAAATATCTATGATTCTGCATCAATGTTTGTAGTTTGCTTTAGTTAATGAATATAAACTCAAACATTTTTATTCAGATATATTAGTTAACATAATGTATGTAATTTAACAGAACTAAAAACTGATACACTAGAGTAAAACCGGGTCAATGTACGCATTTTTTTTTTCTGCCTAGTCATTAAGTTTATAAAATAAAACTGGAAAGAAAAAAATTTTTATAAAAGTAGTTTTTATTAATTTTTTGGTTTCCAAAGTCTAGTTTTCTTATTTTATTTTTGAAGTATAAATTGATATATTTTGAAAGTATTTTTATGTAATAAATTTTTTTTTCAATTTAGTTTAAATATTTGATGGCTATATTATGGGAATCTTTCAATCTGACCGTCATCATAACTGATTTTTCCTGTCTTACTTCAACCGTAATAGCATGGATACAAGCTCATTGCAAACCGGACATAATAAGATCAAATCTTGTAAAGTCTATACGTAGTGTTTTAGGTTTTTCTTAAAGTAATAATTAAAGTGCCTTTTTTTCATCGAAATAACGGCATAATGAATTGATGTTAACTAAGCACGAAATAACGGATGTGTATTTAGTAGAAGATTTTTATGTTTTAAATCACGCAAGAATATCATTTTATCCCTATACATTTTTAAAAGAATTTTACATTTACATTAATTGTTCAATTGTTTAGTGAAGCTCAATGACGATTTTTTTATTATAAATTCTTCAAATTATTAGTTTTATTTGTTTCCTATTTTACAACTATATTGGGTTTACATTTGAGTTTTTTTGAAAATGAGGTTAAACTTTTTTATCTCAAATTACTTGAGCTGGAACTTTTGTTTGGTTTAGAAATGCTAGAAAACATAAATGATAATTTGTTGGTAATTATACTCGATATTAACGCTGCTTGGTGGGCAAGTCAGTTTCAAAATAACAATGATGTGTTTCAGAAATGTATTGACAGTGTTTTGGTATTCTGTAACTCATACTTAATGTTAAATCACACAAACAAACTTGCTTTGGTTGTATGTAATTCAGAGCAAGCCTGCTTTTTATATCCTAATTCAAGCAAGTCAACTTCTGGTATAAGCATTGAAGCTTCTCAGAAAGATGGAAAGTACGAATTGTTTTCAGAAATGAATGAAACTCTCCAGTGTGAATTTAAACGTTTATTTGCTGAATCCGTTAGTAATATGACCAATCGACCCTCTTTGTTGGCCGGAGCATTAACCAAAGCTCTTTGTTACATTCATTCTCACGATAGGACAGCGAACGGACGTCGCACCAACGCTAGAATACTTATAATTAAAGGCTCATCGGATAGCTCTTCGCAATATATGACTGTCATGAACTGTATATTTGCGGCTTCAAAGAAAAACATTGTTATAGATTGTTGTGCATTGCAGAACAATTCTGGTTTTATGCAGCAAGCTTCTGATATTACAGGTGGTGTATATTTTTTTATTGACGATTTCTTTGGTATGTTAGAGTATCTTTTATGGATTTTTTTACCTGATCCCGGATTGCGTGAAAAACTCAATTTACCAACATCCTCACAAATTGATTATCGCGCAGCATGTTTTTGTCATAAGCAGTTAGTTGATGTTGGTTTTGTTTGCTCGGTTTGTTTATCCATATATTGCCAGTTTATGCCGAAATGTGCAACATGTCAAACACGTTTTAAATTACCTTCGTTGCCATTAAATGCTAAGTCTAAAAAGAAATAGTTTTTTGATTCGATTACTCAAAGGAATAACTTCTCACTTCGATTACTTATTACATTATAAAGTAAATAGATTGTAAGACTTATTACTTATTAAAAAGCATGAAAACATAATTTTGTTATCTTTAGAAAGTTGTGTGAATTTTTTGGTTTTCGTTGGGATTTTTTTCCTCGTTTTTAGCGAGAAGGGTTTTTTTTATTCTTAATTTTTGCATTTTAATAATATTTTTAAACTAATTTTAAACTTTTTAATGAAATGGAGAAATTATTTTGCATTACAAAATTATTTTTTCAATTTTTCAAAAAAATTTATTCACGAATATGTTCAGGATAAGTTATGTAATACGAATGTAGCCTATATTATATAGGCTATATTCCTATATATAGCCTATATTATATAGGCTATATTCCTATATATTATATAGGATTCCAGTTACACAAGTTGCTCAATTTTAAAATAGTCACGGTGTATAAGAACATGCTCTATGACCTTATAACACATCCTCAGAAATTTTTGTTGTTGTTTATCATTAGAAAACTCCTATTTCAAAAATATAAAAAAAACTATTTTTCACCAGGGACCTGGAGAGAAATCACGTATTTTAGGTAATTGAGTGTCTAGAAATTTTGTAGTTCAAAAAGATTACTGAGAGGCGTGTGGCATACTCAAATTTTTACTATTTTATTAATGGTGTCATATGAGAATGACTTGAACGAAGTTTAGGTTATTGAAGCTAACCCAACCATGCCCCGACTCTTAATAAGAATTAAATCTCCGTAATAGAATCTTTTAAGAATTAAGTTTTCGAAAATCATTTTAAAATTTTTTATTAACTTTCATAAATTAGATCAAAATTCATTAACAGATGACAAATTTCATCGAATAAAATCTTTCGTTTAAGATTTATGACCATTAAAAGTTTAAAATTCTCCTCATTTACCCACTGAAATAAGTATAAATGGTCGTAACTTTTAAACGAGAAGTATTTTTTTAATGATAAAATTTTAAATCTTGCGATAAATTTTTATTTTATTTTTACGATTGAATTTGAAAAGTCTTTTTAGAAACCATACTCTAGGAGTTGGAGGGGGAAGAGTTGTCTAAAACACCACAAAATCATGCCCACGATCTTATGTTTAGAATTTTAAATATAAAATTACGAACTAAAACTTCAGAATTTAATTCAGAGGATTGCGTATCACCACTGCATATTGTTTGCCACACAAACAACAACATTACCCTTGCAACAACATCATTATCCTTGTTAAGTCATATTATGTGGCCTAGTATTGCTTTTCTTTTTTTTTTACGAACCCGCATTTCAAAGTTATTTAACGTTTTGTTATGCCAACTTGGTTTGCAAGTGATTACTTTTTCTTCTAAAAACATGTGTTTATAGAAAAGACACAAAATAAAGATGATGTCTTGATAAAAATGCTCATCTTAGGCAGACGTTAAATGCATCCGGCAACTCTTTTGCTAAAGGTCTCTTAGGCAAATACTCAAGAAGTAAACAGATTCTCTCTGTTGACCAGCTTTGCATATTTCCTTCTTTTATTAGGCTAACCTAGATGAAATTATAATTCATTGTTTCCAGTATAGAATGTTGAACGCTGGATCTTCTTGACTTATGCATGGTTTTTGTTTGTGTCACTGTTTATATGACTAGACAACTCATTCTATTATCTCCTAATAAGGGTACAGCTCTAAAACTTAGTGTTATGGTTCTGACGCCGTCTAGTAGTCAGGTTTCCCGAACTATGCGGTAGCTATCAGAAAGACTGATTCTACTAACAGCTGTGAAATATCAAAATGCTAACAGTGCCTTGTTGTGCATCGATGGTATCCCTGTTCGTACTTTTGGTGTGCATTGTTGAAGCCGAATTTGGAGCCCTTTGTTACGGCTTCGGATTAAATAATAGTAATGAGGCAATAACTTGGACTATTAGATATTGTATTGATTAATATCTGTGCTTTGAGTCAATTTCTTAACAAATCCAAAAATATTCAATAGACCAAAATCTATAAAAAACAAAAAACCTCGTCATAACCAAGTTCTTTAAATCTATCATTAACTATTAATCATGGTCTTCGATGAAACTTTCCTTCTGTTGAGTTTTATCTCTTGCAAAGTTTACCAGACATACTTGCTCTTTGTATTTCTAATTTGAGTACTGCTGTCTTATCCTGTGATCTTAGTGTTAATGGTTATCTTCCTTTAATTTGTAAAGACTTCAATAGTCATATGCTTGGACTAGGTATTTACATTCGTAAGAACTCACCCATTTGTCGGCAAACTAGCTTTGAATCCACAGACTATTCTTTTATCTTAATCTCAAAAACAAATAATCACAACTTTCCAAATTGCTTTTCCGGATTATCCGAATCATTAACTTTCTTTACTTGACTTTTGACTTGTTTTTGATTCTAGTCAGTACTCAGTTTCTCTACATTCACCCTTAGATGCTTCTGATCGCGGTTTGGTCTTTCTAAAACTATTATCTCATTTTTCTTGATCATTATACCTCTTACAACAACCTTAAAGTTGACTCTTTCCGTGATTTTCTTTTGATGGCCCTTTGGTAGAAATCTTTTTTGTCACCTCACCTAGAAACAAAGGTGAATTATTTGCTAAGAACTTTTCATCATAATAATATAGCTGACAAACAGGTTGATCTATTGATCATTTAATACCAATGAACGGTTATGTACTCAATGAGTCATTCTAGGATTAACTTTTACGTACTCGCCACTTTTTTAACCCGGATTCTATTCGTTATCTTTACAAATCTCAAATCCGTCCTTGTATGGAATACATATCTGGGGTGGATCTTGAAAGAATCTTGAAAACAAAAAAAGGCTGCGCCAAAACAACCTTTCTACATTAATTCTTAAGCTTACTCCAAACATACTCTCAAATTCACAATCCAAAATTATGAACAATTTATCTAAAAATAAAGTTTTTCAGACATTTTTGTAGTAGTTAAAGTAACAACAATGCATAAAGACTTTTTAACTACTCTAATTATCTCTCAGTATCTCTTCTTTCAAATATAAACTAAGACCTGACCAACTTACCATCGGATTTGAAACTAAGCAGATCTAATAATATGTTGGCTAAAGGTCTAAATTTTATCCCAGATACACTTGTTAAATCAAGGAACAAACCAAGTTTCAAGCTTTAATAAGATTACATCACCTCCAAAATAAGTCTATAAAAATAATCTATTTTTAGCATTTTAACTCAACATTCTCTTCTACATATCAAAGATATCTAAATTAAATGATCTTATTAAATACTCAAAATGTTCATTTGTCTGGAAACAAGAAAGTAAATCTTACTTCCATTTACTGAATTTTTTACTTATAAAAAAATACTCGTTACCATTCTTGATAAAAGCTTCAAACTATTAATACCTAAACATCGAATTGTTTATTATTGCCATAAATCTATTAAATATCAGAGCAAATGCACATGGAATAATTGCAATTCAAAATTTTATTTAACTTTTCAGAAAATAAGTATTCTTCCTAATTCCTAAGCCCCTCTACTGCTAACTCACTACTATTTATTTTATTATCATCCCACTATCCATCTTAACTTTGTGTTAGCTTCAATGCTGGCTTACTACTAATAATAATTGTTCTTTATTTAATTTTTTTAATTACTCCTCTCTTTTTAATGCTGATTTATTACTACTGATACTTGTTCTTTTTTCCTCAAATTAATATTGTTCTTTATATTACCATTCTATTTCAAACTCTCACTATTTTTGGTAGGGGAACTTATTGTGTCTTTGACCACTTTTTTCTTCAGGTTATTTTTTGCGTCGTTTATTAAATAATTTAAATCATTCAAACTTTGTGTTATTCTCTCATGCTTTGTGTAAAAATTATACTTTGGATTTTTAAATTATTTGACCAAGAAATATCCTTTACCCACGTTTAAAAAAAGAACTTAATCCAGCTAACACTTTGATAAAACGTTAGAACAATGTTGCGAGTTAAGTTGGCACAACATCAATCGCTAACGTTGTTTTTATATCATTTTTGTTAAATGCAACATCACCAGCAACAAAAATCCAACGGTGGCACCACGTTGTATTTTAAGTTAGCGAAGTGTTATATTTTACGTTGATTCAACGTTGTACTTTTTAGTTAGCACAGCATTGGATTTTACGTTGACTAAACACCGCATTTATCGTGTATCGTAATTAGATTTTAATATTATTTTTTTAAATTTTACTTATACAATCCGTTAACATGGACCCTGGATAAATTGGAATTTTACTAATTTGGACGGAATTTCAATCCCCCTTGAACATTCTCTATCAACAACTTACTGTAAAATCATCCTCTTAAGTCGTACCCTGGTTAAGTCGTACCATTCGCTAACTCGTACTGTTTTTTGAAGTCCCTTTGGCAAAAAAACTTCGCTTAACTAGAACTTTTATTTTGAATTGCATATAAGTACATATAAAAAAAAAACTTCCAATACTTCAATAAAAGTTCCAAACTTTAAACGCTCGAAAATAAAATACTTTTTCATCAAATATAATTAAACATGGGAGGCTGCATAAGCGCGAATTGGCATATGTGCGAAGTGGCTTAAGTGCGTTTCAAAAGCGTTGCAAAAACTGGCATAAGTGCAAACTGGCATAAGTGTGAAGCAGTTTCAAAAACTGGCACAATTGCAAACTGGCATAAGTGCGAATTGGCATAAGTGCGTCAAACAAATTTGCAAACATTGGCATAAGTGTGAACTGGCATAAGTGCGAAGCAGTTACAAAAAATGGCATAAGTGCAAATTAGCAAAAGTGCGCCGATTAAAATTTCAAATATTGGCATAAGTACAAGTTAGTATTTCGCAAGTGCAAATTGGCATAAGTGCGCCGATTTAAATTTCAAATATTGGCATAAGTACAAGTTAGTATTTCGCACTTATGCCAATTCGCACTTATGCCGATTCGCACTAATGCCAATGTTTGCAAATTTATTTAGCACACTTATGCCAATTCGCAGTTACGCCAGTTCGAGTATTTGTAACTGCTTCGCACTAATGCCAGTTTGCACTTATGCCAATTCGCACTTATGTCAATGTTTGCAAATTTGT